CCTTACACACATACATCTAATACTACGTATTATCCTTAGTTTGAGTTTGAGTTGTAATATGAAAATTTTCATTGGCTCATAAAACCTTACACAATCATTTCGTTTGAGTTTGAAAATTGTCGCACTATTGACATACTCTACTTTCACTATATTTTATTTATTAATATATGTGATTCTTTTGGAAATATATTGTTTAATTCGTCTCACTACAATTTTTTATGATTTGATGTTTAAATATTTTTTACTAATAGAACATTAAATATAATGATGGTCAAACTCTTGGATTGTCAAGTGTGAAAATAAGAATGTTGAAACTTAAATAGGAAGTGATGACAAATATTTTTAGATGACAACTCCGGTACCCATTCAAAAAACGGGGTACCGTACCTTCCATTCACTTGATTGGTCCACATCATTATATTATTTTTAGTTTAGATTTAAATAATTCAACTGCAACAATCGCATTGGTCCATGTGAACAAATGTATGGTACCTTATGGGTACCATAGAAACTACCATATTTTTATATAATTTTTAATGAAAGTGATGAAATTGTTTTTATATAATTTGTGTACTTTACATATGTTAAATAGGGTTGATGTAAATAAATATTTAATATGTGTGTATGTGTGCTCGCATGTGTGATTTTTTGAAAGCGTACAATACTTAAGAAAGGCATGTCATCTCATTAGATATACATATATTCAATTAGTATACATGTATTCAATTAGATAATTATTTCTTAAGATATATTAGGAATTAAAACCTTTATTCTTAATTACTTTAGTGTATGTTTTCAAATATATTGTCTACTATTTATATCTTTATATAGTAAAGATAATCATGGATGGAGAAAAATATTTGTTATAATCCCTTAGAAGTAATAACTTGAAATTAGTTACATTTAGGAATAATGCAATTTATTATTTTATCATGTTTTATGAGGAAGCGGACAGCCTAACTGATCACCGACTCACTCTCCCTTACGGAAGGTCTCAGGCTCAAAAATCAATGGAGTGAGTTTCAGCCCCAATTACTCTAGGCCCCCCAGCCCTCTCCCCCGTCACAAACGCCCCCCTGGAGTAATACAAAAACAATTAAAAAATCATGTTTTATTTGTGATAGATAATGTTGCATTGTAAGCTTTAACGATTTGAAGTTGTAAGCTTTAATAAGTTGAAATGAATAAATAGATACTGGTTATGTTTGGCAAATGGCTTATCAGCCAGCTTTTAGCTTGTTTGACCCATTTCATCTGTTTCATTAGTCAAAGAAGCTAATAATAATGTTTGGTAAATGACTTTAAAATTAGCTTATTGAGTTTGAAAAGTTGAAAAAATGGATGGTTGAAGAAGCTAAGGGGAGCAGCTTCTTCATTCGGCTGGTTCAATTTATTCCCATAAGGGTATAGCTCAAAGCTCCCAAAGTGACTGCATATAGTTCCAATTTATTCTCATGTTGGTTTTGCTCGTTTTTTTTAACTTAGTCAACCCAATTATTTTGCTTATCACTTTTTCTTCTTTTCACTCCTTTTGCTTTCATTGTTTTGAGTTAGCATTTTTTAAATTAATCATTTAAGTAATATATACTAATAATTACTCTAATTATTTTAAACAAAACTTGTTTAATCAAATACGTAATACTATCTAGACAAATAATATATTATTAGTTATGTTCTCTATCTTGAATTAATTTGATGTTTCTGGTTTAGAGTCGTGGAAACGAGTATTACATCTATACACGACAGCGTTTTTTCCCAACCATAGTAGCCGCACCTCTCTTCACTTCTCCTCAAAATTTCACCTCCTCTTGTAGTCTTTGATTCAATTACATTTTTTAAAAGTAGTAAATTAGTTAACTTTTCCCTTTAAGCCTAAGAAAAGCATTACAAATTTGATATCGGATTCTAGGATATCCTGTAACTTCATTTGCCACTGGACACATGCTCATCATCTTTCAACTAAGTATTTAAAGCTAAGCTTTAAATTTTGTACATGAGTAAGAAAAGTTCATCAGATAGAGAACTCGAGTGAGAATCCTTTTTTGTTTAGATGCTCAGTGATCATAAGTAGAAAGTTTGCTCACAAGTGCCCAAAGAAAATGAGGAACAAGTTCATCTGGTAGGAAATAATAATGAGCAAGAAAACAACTGCGGGCATGATTTAGCAGTTGTGGTGTCACAGGTTCGGAGGCAGCTATAAGAACAGCAACAAGCAACATGTCATCACCCACTTGCCCGCGAACACCCAAAGTGACGATGGAGTCATGGAGATATAAGGAATGTTGAGAATATTCAAGGGAGGAGAAATGAAGTGCCAAGGCAAGAACCCTTGATGCTCACTTGGTGGATTAACCCGATTGATTTTGAGGGAAGCCCCCAATCATCAAGTTGCACGAGGATGTTTAAAGACAGTTGAGGACATTGCTAATGGTTTTGGGTTATCTCGATCATAATGACAAAGTAAGCTAAGGTGTGCATCTTATAGGCTCACCATTGGATATGAGATAAGACTTTGGCATATGACATGTGATCAATTCAAGTAAGAATTCTCTAATTAGTGTTTTAATGCAATTATCACCCGAAAGTATCAGGATGAACCTGAGAATCTACGTTACTCAGCTATTGATGTAACAACCTTGGCGGAAGAATTTCTAAGGCTATTATGCCTTTGTCATACAGCTGCTACGGGAGAAATAAGGTGAGAATGTTTATGGTAGCTCTTAAAAAAGATATCATAGTCTAATTGGAGAATGGTGATCAAACAAGTAAACCATGATCTACTTGTTTAGCCACAACCTGCACCTCTATAGTCACATAGTCAATCTCGAAAACACACATAAAATTGGAAGAATAACATAAAGAGGAACTTTAAGAGTTCTAATGGAAATGTATGGTCGATGTTAGGGAAAACAGAACAACCAGAAAAAGTTTCCCTCATGCTTTAAATGCAGTAGTAATCATCCGAGCACTGGCCAAATTGAGCTTAAAAAATTGGGAAGCTACATCCTCATGCTTTAAATGCAGTAGTAATCATCCGAGCACTGGCCAAATTGAGCTTAAAAAAATTGGGAAGTTACATTAGGTAGCTTTTGAGAGAAATTATAAAGATTTTAACAATAATCAGTGACAACGATTTATTATACTCTCTCCGCCCTTCTAAATTTTATCAAGTGTAACCAACACGAGAAATAATAAAATAAAAAAGGGATAAGGGTCACATAAGGCCTCGAACTTGAAAAAAAATGTCAAATAAAGTCATATTTAGGATGTTCTGTCCGGCCAACGCCATTTGGGGCGGTTCCCGGTGGATTTTTTTGATGAATTTTTTTGATAATCTTATTCATTAAGTCTAGTTTACTCATATCAAATTTGAATTAAAACTTCAATCGGGAAGACATTCAAATGAATTCTTGAAGATAACTGTGCAGTTAAAAGCGCAGTTATCTTCAAGAATTCATTTGAATGCCTTCCCGATTGAATTGTTACTTCAAATTTGATATGAGTAAACTAGACTTAATGAATAAGATTCTCAAAAAATTTCATCAAAAAAATCCACCGGGAACCGCCCCAAATGGCGTCAGCCGGACATAACATCCTAAATATGGCCTTATTTGACATTTTTTTCCCAAGTTCGAGACCCTATCTGACCCTTATCCCAATAAAAAATGTGTGATTGAAGTTGGGGAAACAAGGGAGCAACAATAGAAACCAGAAGTTCATTAATTAAAATAAAAAAAGTAAAGTTTTTGAAATAACTAAAAAGAGAAAGATGACAAAAATATAAAAGAGTATCCAATAGAACTAAATCAAACTCTCACTAAAAGCTAACTGCTTCTAAAATTCAACTAATTCAATCAAACATACTTCTAAACACATGGCCCGTAAGAACATCTCCGATGCTAAAATGCACACGGTGCACATGTGGCATGAATATTTAAATGATTTAAATGCAGTAGTAATTGACCGTCTACATAACCACATAAATATTACGTAGTAACAAATAAATTATTTCTCTCGTTATTTAAATGATTTTATACAATTTTGATTAGTTGTTATCCACAATGTCAAGAAAACTGTCTAGATGTTTACATTGTGATTGACATTGCAGAAAAAAAACTTACTAAAATTGTACTACGTATAAAACCATTGTGTTTGTCTAATTATTGTTTCTCAATCTACATTTAGCACGGATGAATTTGGAATTCTTGTGGGCCATGAACATTAACCGCAACATGGATTAAATCTTTTTTTGCTGACTCAGTGCTTATTACGGAGAATTGTTTTTTACATGGATAATATAAATTTTTCCAAACAAAAATAAATAGGTTTTGAAAATTTAGAATGTTTTTACTTGGATTGTAATTTACTGGTCTGATCTGGTTCAATCTGGTGGTCTAGTAATGTCTAATCTCTTTCTATTTTTATAACTATTAAAGTCTGGTCTGATCTTATCTAGCTTGAGACAAATTAGAGCCCAAGTAAAACATTCTTAATAGTACTTCTATGTTTTTTCTCAAAATAGTTTTGTATTGGCAAGGTGTAATCCTTTTGCATTGGGAAAATAAGAATTCATTTGTGACTATTTTTCAACATATCAAGTTTATCAACCATTTTTTTAAAATCAAACAGGCAATTTTTGTCCGTAGGCTGAATTAAGTAATAATAAAAAATGAAGTTAGAGTACTGTTCTAATTGAACTAACTAAAATTACTCTAAATGACCACTTTAGTACGAAGTATATTTTTTTATTACTAAAATATTTTTAAATATTACTTTTTCAAACATCAATAGAATCAATCGATATAAACATTTCAATTAGAACTTCAAAAACATAGCTAATTCTGCCAATTTCAATATTATCCAACGAACTCTAATAATAATCAAATCATTTTTATCGACTTTTGGAAATATTTTCTGAAATAGTACTCACTTTTTTTGAAGAAAATGAACTTGATATCATAAAAGGAGAACCAATAATGCTAATCAAAGGGGCTTACATTAATTAATAAAAAACAATCAGATAGGATTTGAAATAACAAAAGCATCATATGTAACCATCCGTTATGGACAAGACTCTAAGTTAATCACTTTTGACAAAATAATATAACTCAATAGTCTTAACTTGACTATAATCAAAACAACGACAATTACCGCAGTCCGCAGACCTCTCATCCCTCAATCCAAGTGTAAATGTCTTACAACATAAAATAAATAAACAACACACAATTGAAATAAAATAAAACGAAACACAATCATTTTAGCAGTAATAGAAATAGTCGTAAAAACCCTAATCGTACTATTCCTCCATGGCGGCCATTCCGGAGGGAGAAGGAACAACATCCCTTCATCTTCTTTCACACATAGGCCATTAATGGCACGTTGCTGACCACTAGAAACTTCATGTTTTCTCCAATAGCCATTTGTTTGTGTTGATGGACCACCAAAAACTCCATGCTTTCTCCAATAAGAATTACCAAAAAAAGGATTAAATCAGATTTGGAATTCCAAAATGGCTCCAACTTCATTGAATTATTCTTTTTGAAAAATTTTGTTATATTCATCTCATTACCAAGTTTTATAATATGTTTTTTATTTTATTTTTACTGATACAAAATTAAATATAATTACAGTCAAATCATACATTGGAAAAGGTGAAAAGTAGAATATTAAAACTAAAAAAGAACGGAAAAAATAGTTGTTACTTCCATGTATGTAAAATACTACCAAAAATGAATATCACATTCATTAGTTATAATTAATATTATCATATTAAATGCACTGTACAACAATTATTTAATAATCTACTCTTATTAATCCTATTTTACAAATAAAAACTTAATTTGAAATTGCAAACACCATTTACTCTTATTTTAAGAAATCTCACAAACTTTTGTATTTTATGAATGAATTATGGAGTATATCTTAAACGTGTCCTTGACCTATCAATGTTTCCATTTTAAGACCCAAATCGTATAAACATTCAGTTTTTCGGTCCCCCTTTTAATCCAATCCTCTTTAAAAACGGAATCTACTCTTATAGATGTACAATATTTTAAAGTTGAGATAAAATAACATTTTCTTAAGTAGTGAAAGTTGAGATAATTTTCAAGTTCAAAATTCTAAAAGTAGTGATATTTTTCACGAAAAATATTACAGTATAAAGGTAGAGATATACATTGCGGTAAGTTGTGATTTGGGGAAAATGTAATCCAACCTTGTGCCCACGAAGATTAACAGAAATGAAAGTATCTCCTGGACGAGTCTATTGGAAATCTGAAGTCAAAAAACTCCATTAATTTTGCAAACGAAGAAATTGCCTCAAAACACTGCGATTAGTCTAGGGACAGAGTGCGTTTGCTTTTTCACACTTCACATCGCAACTATTTAAAAAAATTAAATTTTCTGGAATAAACACAATCAAATATACCAGCAATAAAAGGGCCTGAGTCATCAGGAAGAAGTTCAGATTCAGGCGAGTGATGCCGGATTTCATATCGCAAGTGTTTGAATAAGAATTGTCCGGATGATAGATTTGAAATCCGGACAAGAAGCTAACTTGCTTAAGAAAATGTATAACGGGATAGGGAGCATCATATTCCTTAAATTCTACCGATTATGGCTTATAAAATCTATCGTTGAAGTAAGGATTACAAGTAGTGAGCCGAAATACGCCGGCCGCCATTCACAGAGCAGACGAAATGGGAAGACAGATTGAAGCTAGGGTTGAGATTGCAAAATAAATTGGCAAAGTATATATAGAGTACAAAACGACGATGGGCTGAGCACAGGTGGTACATAGATTGTTGATATGGGCCTTTGTTAAAATAAGAGGCTGATTAGGAGTGATAGAACCAAACCAAAACTGACAAATCAAAACTTATTCGGATTTTCTTACTTTTGGAGACGGACCGAATAAAAATATTCAGACCAAAACCAAATTCACTAGTGGTATCGAAAATCTATAATTCCTCTCCGCCCGGCCCGGTCATAACACGACACAATTCCATTTAATATAAATCAATATAATATTATAATATAAGAATATTAAACCCGAATTAATTCCTAATATATTACTAGAATAAGCTTGTTGAATTCGAACCTATTCAATAACTTTAGTGACTATGAAAATATATTTTAATAAATTTACTCACATTTTTATGTATCTTAAACTCAATATTAAGATAAACTATTTTCTCTCGGTGTGAGTTGTTGACGATTTTTGAAGACTAATATCTGTCTTATTATTTATAGTTTGTGTTGTTGAGTTATTTTATTTGAAAATATGTTTAGAATATAAAAGAATGATGTGTTGATTTCTCGCTCGGGCTTTAACATGCTTTACTCGAACCTGGGCTATCAAAAACTCAACTCAAACGAGTAAGTCAACACCTAATTTTGACTTGTTCCAATCCCTAATTTTCATAACCCTCCAGATCTTATGGGTAATTCCCGGATTTGACAAAAATCTGACCCAGACCAAAGAGTGAAACGACGAGCCAGCTAACACCGACTTGCTATAAATAGTCCTCATAAATTAGAAGAGGTGTTTATTTCTCGGCATTTGCTGGTAGCCTGGTATTATTCAAATACTCAACTCATGTAACCATTGATGACTTATTTGTTGTGATGGGTAGAACAAAATACTATTGATTTTTCAGAATTGTTCTTGAGTATATTGCAAGTGTTCTTCATATATATGAATCATATATGCCCTTTGATCTTAGCCATTTGCACTCATTTCCCTAGTCCTGAATCGACCACCCATGAAAGAGTTTTGTTGGACTTTGGGTTGAGGGAATTTAACCAGACTATTTTACTTTTTTTGTTAACATTTCCAATTTTCTTGATTTTCTACAATTTATATTTTTGTATAAGATCCAACTTGTGACATTTCTTCGACTTTTTCACCCAAATACGTAACTATTGATTTCACGAATTTCATTGTGTAATAATAAGAAAAAATAAGATTGAAATTATTTTGCGGCTGAATTGACTGAAGTTACTATACATGATCATTTTAGTTATTTATATAATTTTTTATTTATTTTATTAATAAAATATACATTGAATATAACTTTTTCATAATTCAGTGGATGCAGTCAATTCAGTCTCACTTCAATCATAACTTCATCAATTTCATCAGAATCAATCAATTTAATCAATTTCTATGTCACCAAAAGGCCTTAAATATTTTTAAAGAATTCATTACAAATAACATATTTTGTATTTAAAAAAATCCCACATTTTTAAATATTTTTAACTTTTAAATTTGTACTTTTGAGCATTTTATTACAAAATTTATTATACATTTTTGTACACTTCTCTGATTTTTTAAATTGAAATCTGTGTTTTTTATTATTTAAGTTACAAGTTTAAAATTTTGAATTGTTAATGTATTTTTGTTTCTTTTTAATTTTTGACTAAGTTTTTAATGTTTAGTTTTAGTTTTTTAGGCTTTTATTATTTGTTCAAGTATTTTTATCGTTTTGGCTTTTTGTAAATTTTACATATTATTTTTTCTATGCAACTCCATTTCGCTATAGGCACACTAAACGAAATAGGTCAAGAATTTGGAGTGCATGATAAAACCAACCTACCCTACAGTTATTACGATTAAAGATTCCATACCGGTGGGCGTAGCTCAACTGGTAGCAAGGGAGTGCCACAAGGGTTAAGTCTCGGGTTCAAATCCCGACAACTGCGATGAGGGGTTACTATGCTGAAAAATGCATAGGACTTCTGCAAGTACCGGAGACAGAGCCACACTCTCTATCTGTCAGATTGTGATTATAGTCCAATTTACATCCTCCCATCGTGCCGTCCGGTCGGTGTTGGGGGCCCTCAGGGATGGGGTGTCATCCTTTTTTTGATTAAAGATTCCAATAAGTTGTCTATTCGTGAAAAGAAAAATATAGCTAGTATTTTAAAAAATAAACTTAGGAAAAACTGTCAATTAAGTCCATATACTTTTAATAAAAAGTTAATTAAGTCTACATACTTTTTATCGAGTCAATTAAGTCCGCTAAGTGTCAAAAATCAACCAAATATGCTATTTTGTAGGTAACCAAACGGTTACCCGGTTAACCGTCCACGTGGACACCCCTGCTAGCATTTTTTTACTGTTTTCTTTTCCTTTTCCTACTTCTTTCTCTTTTTTCTTTATGTTTAGTCCGTGTGCTCTATTTTCCGATCTATTTCATCCCTCCAGCCTTCCCTTTATACTCCATTAATGGCAAATCTTTTTTTCATCAAATCCCTTGCTCTCTTCCAATTCGACTCGCCGTGTCTTAATCGCAACTTGTGTTCTATTTCTTTCTTGTCTAAACTGATCCCAATCACAATGAAACCAAAGGGAGAGGTGAATATGTAGACAAGGGCGGCGGCGGAGGCAGGGGCGGATCCAAGAATGAGGGGTGGGGTGGGCTAAGCAATAAATTTTTTTTTAAGTTTTTAAAAAAATACCAAATCCAACCCAAAACTTAAAAAAAAATTCAAAAAAAAATAAAAAAAATTAATATCCGGCCTGGACCGGGCCCGAACCAGCCGGGCCGGTTCGCCTAAAGCAGGGCCCGAGCCCGGACCGCCCATCACCCGGGCCGGGCCAAACCGAACCGCTGGACCCATCGGGCACCGGGCCGGGCCGGGCCAAACAGTAACCGGGCCGAGCCGGTTCTGGGTCAGGCTGCCCGGCCCGAGTCCACCCCTACCTCGGCTGCTTCCTCTTTGTTTTATCGGTAGGATGGGGTACATGGAAAATTTACATCAGCCAAAAAATGGTCCAAGTAGATTCCACGCAAGCATGGTAATCGGGAACTTGTTGATGACTGCTTAAACATCTAATTTGAGAGATTTTTAAAAGTTTAAGGGCTTAATTGAACGATTATCAGGTACAGGGACTTAATTGACTTTTATGAGAAAGTACGAGAACTTATTTGACAGTTTTTCCAATTAAGAATAAGTTTTCCTAATTCTCCTACAATAACATCAGAAATGCACATTGACAGACTGCACACTAAGAACAAACAAATCAACATGACGGAAGTATGGTGGCAATGTGGTACTATCACCAATGCGAGCAGGAACCAATTTCAACTGGTAGTCAGGGAGTGAGTGTTACATGTTTGAGGCCTTTTATGTGTGCATAAATAAACAAAAGGGCGAATTGGAATGCTTTCGTACCAAAATGTCTTATTCCAGTAGCAAATTTTAAACAGCATCCAAAACAGCATTGCTAAAGTTAGTGTCTCCCCGCGGAATTTTGAAGCCTGAAAGATGCCAAGATAAAACAGAGGAATACTGTAATGGAATAAATATTGGAGTAAAATAAAACATGGGCTCAAACTTCAAACTCATCACAATTTTCTGGAATTTTTCTATATGTAATTAATAAATAGTACTCCAACACACACCCTTTACGGCTTTACCAATTCTATATGTCCAGAGTAATAGGGTAAAACATGAGCGAAATATTCAAAAGACAAATAGCCACTACAAAGAATATGTCGCTTTGTAAATGACCTTATCCCTCCTGTAGCACAGATTCTACACATCTCAAAGTTTAGATTACATTTCATATTTCAGTAAAAAACTCTCCGCCAGCTCCAACACACAAACTTTACCAACTCTTTGTTCCGACCATGGCGAATCACACCAACCACAACCACTTGACCGATATCGAAAACAGTCACAACACTAAGCAGTGACCAGAAAACCCTAGCTATAAAAAAACTTAAGCCATACTGAAGAAGATGAACAGGATCAATTTTCAGTCCCCCACATGCCCACATGACAATGTCTGAACCAGAAAGAATGCTTTTATTCACCCAGAGCAAAATATTTAATTACCAAAAAACACAAATCTTACTGCATAAAACAAGTGGAACCAATCCACGACATGGCAGTGACTGGATCCAGGAAGAAATCCTCTTCACTCTGAACCCAAGAACTCAATTACCAAAAGAGCCAAACTTTCCAATGAAGACGGTTGTTAGTAACCCATGGGTGGAGACGTGGAGTGTAACTGGTGCCATGTATTCCAAGTTTCCAACTATGGTGAAGAAGTACACCTAGGCTCGACTTATAAAGGAAAAAGAAAGAGCTATTACAGTCAGTGATTTTTTTTATTCATCATCAGAATCATCACTACCCCGTGCCGCAAAGGCTCCCACCTACGGTGGGGTAAAGGGGGGCTGATGTACGCAGTCTTACCCCTGTACTAAAGCACAGAGAGATTATTTCCGGATGACCCACAATGAAAATCGCGTCCAGAATGCATGGACTGCAGCTTCATAACAAAGAAGCGCAGACAATTTAGTGAGCCATTTGTATTTTACTCCTCCTTTTGGTCAAACTTGATCAAGTTTGACTAGCAGGTGGAATAAAAAAAGTAAAACTTGTGCCGTTGAGGTTCTTACATTGAAGACAAAATAACATTAGCTACAATTTTCTCTCTTGAAAAGGAAAGAAGCAATGTTATTGGAACAAATATATAAAGAAATTTGCCACAGTTTAGTGAGACAGTTTTTAATATGCTAGTATTATGCAACACAAAAGAAAGTCGATGCACTTTTTGTACTATGAGATACTAGAAACTCGATGGCCATGAAACATGGACAAGTGATGACACTTAAAGAAGAGTTTTCTTTCATGGTTGTGGGTGCTTAGCAGCAATCCAACTCCCATGTTGAATAACTTCTGATTCGCTTGTTGGGGATTAA